GTTGGGACATAAGTCATCAAACACCTGTCATGAAGTGAAGAATATAATTCGCATTGTTAACATTTTTACGCATAAACTAATTCAGAAAGCCTCACCTGTTTAGAGTAATTAATAATATGCCGTTAATTACGGTCGGCGTAAACAACATTTGTCACTACTGCCTGTTGTTGGGCGTCCCGAGGAATGTTTTGGTTATCATTGCATAAACAAACTTCTGTGGAATGTGTTCTTCTGTTGGACACATCTGATTTACATTATTTCACCGCACATTTGGAATTTTCTTCTCGGTCTTTAATATGTCTTCATTTGCAAAAGTCCCTGTATTTATTTTCTGTTGCGGTGTTTTATTGTGTTTTTATACTGTTGGGACTGATATGTCTGTTTAACGGGCTCGTTTATTCCTCCACTGTGGCCAAGTGAATCCAAGACACGCCGTAATGGCGAACTAGTTCTACAAGTTCAAATGTACTATAACATTTTATTGGTCACCACCTAGAAAAAAACAACGGGAGAATGTGGTCCTGTGGGAACGTTTTGACACAGTTAGTTGGGCTCATTGCCTGACAGAGTGTGTGTATCATCACAACTTGTTATCTAAATCTGTTATTATTATGGGGCCAACGGCTAACAAATACCACCTAATGTACCGGAGCGAGGCGTCAATGGGTTGTGACGTCATGTGATCGCGTTCCACCGGTGAGGTGATTGAGGACACATTCTAGGAAGTAGCTCCTCGGTCAGAGAAAAACAACACCATTTTTGTAGATAGTACGCCAGTTGTTTTATGTGTATATCGTGTTGTGCAATACATGAATACTACACAGATATAGGACGGTCGGAATTCCATTGTTTTTCTGTTCCGACACTGTCTTCCGAACCACCCATCTCCATTGCTAAACTACACAACATAGCTGGACATCTACGCATATATGTGTTTGGTATGGGATATATTGACCGAATACAAACAGTTGGCCCCAAACTGGGCCTGCACACTTCGCGTTGTCGACAAGAAACATTACTGTTGCATACACTTTGAATACATGTCAATCACACGAGACTAGAGAGCATTTGTTTAGAAACTCGGGCTTCTACCGACCTTCATGGCGATCTGAACAACAGCATCATATGTATCAGCTGTATACTATATCATTAAAAAAATTAATTTCTTATGGTTATGTTTGAAATGTATGCAATGTTGTGAGAGTAGAATTGTCTCAGAAAGCAGCGGGAAGCAGTGCGACAAGCATCTCCAAAAAGTGCTGACATGCGAAAAAGTATATACATATATCTGACCCTTTTCTAACATTTTGCCAAAATCAGAACTAATTTTATTTACTTTTAAGCCTCCTTTCGACAGTATATATTAAAATGGTGAACCGAGTCAATAAAAACTAAAACCCCAGCATATCACCGGGCAACCCTTCAGGTAATAGGTAATAGAGCGTTTCTCAACGGAAGTGTGATAGCGACTATAAAAACTTACCCATATTCTTAATTAACCCGCATCTCTGGAAATCTTTGTGTTTTAAAGTTATCCGTCAACTGTTACCGCGATAATCGGGACATACCCTTAGATGCCAAATTAGGTGGCCCATACATGTACCATAGGAAGAGAAAGCAGACCAATTACTCTCTTGAAAGATAAAAAAAAAGATCACTGCAAGAAAGTTGAAATCATTACGGTTATCTTTTGTTTTTCATGGGTCTCCATGTTTCATCGACATTGAGTTTTTATTCAGTTTCACTGTTTTATCTACAGTCTATTTCTTCTTCACTTTGCTTCAGATTCGCTTTTCATGAGGTCTGTAAGAGTGAAGTTCACGACCAACTACTTTTTACATCCTGCTTTCTTTGAAAAAAAAAATGCTTATAACGAGAAATTGAAGGCGTTCCGTTCAATTTGGAATAACCCATCGGTAATTTGTGAACCATGACAAACTCGTTATTCATGAGCAAATGTCCAGAATTGATTAAGAATATATTAAGACTTCTTGAAATGTATTATCAAATGATTTTGTTTTTGAATGTCATAAAATTAACCCGGGATGACTAGAACTGAGAATGGTATTAAGACACTTGGACAGATGTTTCTTTGAGCAATTAGCCGAACAAGTAACAGCATGCTAATGATACAGATCCTTGTGGAGTCAAGCACCAAGTCATGTGATGCAGTACAATATATACTGACAGTCGTACACTATATAGCAGTAGTGATACAGCATATACCTGCAGTCGTATACTTTATAGCAGTAGTGAAACAGTATATACTGGCAGTCGTACACTTTATAGCAGTAGTGAAACAGTATATACTGACAGCCTAACACTATATAGCAGTACTGATACAGCATATACCTGCAGTCGTATAATTTATAGCAGTAGTTAAACAGTACATACTGGCAGTCGTACACTTTATAGCAGTAGTGAAACAGTATATACTGGCAGTCGTACACTATATAGCAGTAGTGATACAGAATATACCGACAGTAGAACACTATATAGCAGTAGTGATACAGCATATACTGACAGTCGTATACTTAATAGCAGTAGTGAAACAGTATATACTGGCAGTCGTACACTATATAGCAGTACTGATACAGCATATACCTGCAGTCGTGTACTTTATAGCAGTAGTGAAACAGTATATACTGACAGTCGTACACTATATAGCAGTAGTGATACAGTATATACTGAGAGTCGTACACTATATAGCAGTAGTGAAACAGTATATACTGACAGCCTAACACTATATAGCAGTAGTGATACAGTATATACTGACAGTCGTACACAATATAGCAGTAGTGATACAGTATATACTGACAGCCGTACACTACATAGCAGTAGTGAAATAGTATATACTAACAGTTTTACACTATATAGCAGTAGTGATACAGCATATACTGGCAGTCGTATACTTTATAGCAGTAGTGAAACAGTATATGCTGGCAGTCGTACACTTTATAGCAGTAGTGAAACAGTATATACTGGAAGTCGTACACTATATAGCAGTAATGATACAGTATATACTGACAGTCGTACACAATATAGCAGTAGTGATACAGTATATACCGACAGTCGTACACTATATAGCAGTAGTGATACAGTAAATACTGACAGTCGTACACTTTATAGCATTAGTGAAACAGTATATACTAACAGTTTTACACTGTATAGCAGTAGTGATACAGCATATACTGGCAGTCGTATTCTTTATAGCAGTAGTGAAACAGTATATACTGACAGTCGTACACAATATAGCAGTAGTGATACAGTATATACCGACAGTCGTACACTATATAGCAGTAGTGATACAGTATATACCGACAGTCGTACACTTTATAGCAGTAGTGAAACAGTATATACCGAGAGTCGTACTCTATATAGCAGTAGTGATACAGTATATACTGACAGCCGTACACAATATAGCAGTAGTGAAACAGTATATACTGACAGCCGTACACTATATAGCAGTAATGATACAGTATATACTGACAGCCGTACACTACATAGCAGTAGTGATACAGTATATACTGACAGCCGTACACAATATAGCAGTAGTGATACGGTTTATACTGACAGTCATACACTATATAGCAGTAGTGAAACAGTATATACCGACAGTCATACACTATATAGCAGTAGTGATACAGTATATACCGACAGTCATACACTATATAGCAGTAGTGATACAGCATATACTGGCAGTCGTATACTTTATAGCAGTAGTGAAACAGTATATACTGACAGTCGTACACTATATAGCAGTAGTGATACTGTATATACTGACAGCTGTACACTATATAGCTGTAGTGATACAGTGTATACTGACAGTCGTACACTATATAGCAGTAGTGATACAGTATATATTGACAGTCGTATACTATATAGCAGTAGTGATACAGTATATACTGACAGCTGTACACTACATAGCAGTAGTGATACAGTATATACTGACAGTTATACACTATATAGCAGTAATGATACAGTATATACCGACAGTCATACACTATATAGCAGTAGTGATACAGCATATACTGGCAGTCGTATACTTTATAGCAGTAGTGATACTGTATATACTGACAGCTGTACACTATATAGCTGTAGTGATACAGTATATACCGACAGTCGTACACTATATAGCAGTAGTGATACAGTATATACTGACAGCCGTACACAATATAGCAGTAGTGATACAGTATATACTGACAGCCGTACACTATATAGCAGTAGTGATACAGTTTATACTGACAGTCATACACTATATAGCAGTAGTGATACAGTATATACCGACAGTCGTACACAATATAGCAGTAGTGATATAGTTAATACTGACAGTCGTACACAATATAGCAGTAGTGATATAGTTAATACTGACAGTCGTACACAATATAGCAGTAGTGATACAGTATATACTGACAGCCGTACACTATATAGCAGTAGTGATACAGTATATTTATATGTTGAATGTTTTACTCTAATCCTATCCGCGTCACCAATTAAACTCTATTTCTTGCACTTAATCTCCATATACCGCCGCAGATTTCCAAACCCGGTAGAGTTAGCCCTAATTAACACCGAGTCCATAGGAGGCTGAGATGCTTAATGTAAATAGTATAAAGTATACACCGGTATTCGTATGATCAGACCGTGCTTGTGTAATACTATACATAGTCTGCCACTCATGTTGTTGGTATCAAAGACAGCATGTACAAGTATTTATAAATTACGTACGTGTTGTAGGTATGTATATCTCATGAATATTAAACAACCAATTATAACCAAATGGGTTGTGATTTTTCCAATATGAATTAAGTAAGTGGTTGATTATGGGCGGCCGTAGAGAGCTGTTGTGAATGGACCTTTTACTGTCCACCAATGATATGGCAGGGACTATAAATAGGATAGTAGTGTCTTTGCGTACATTTAATCTTGTGAATGCAACGTATACACACGAGTAGTATAAATACCACAAGTGTAGTGCTGCTTGTTCCGTGGATTACTGCCTGGCCTAACACACTGCAATTCACGGCTATTTATTAATTGGGAATTACAAATTTTCACTTTAAGGATTCCTAGGGTGCAGAAAAGGCCAGGTAAGCCATATTCCATGTTTAATATATTTGTATTTTCATGTTATTTCTTATTACTCAGAAAAAAATACGAAATATTTGATTTTAACGAAAAAATGGAAATTTCTGTTATTACTTTGAGAAGGATTGTCACTAAAAAGAGAAACATATTCTATTTGTTAAATTGAGCGCGTGAGGTTGAATAAAGTTCCCTAGGATACAGCGTTTGAGAGAGGTACTGGACAGAATATTGTGTCATTTTAGCTGGAAAACTGGGTAGAATATTTTAGACACTTGCGTCGGATAAAATGTTGGACAGGATGTTTTAGACAAACCACTGGACAGGACATTTACATCGGATAGCGAGCCATACAGTGTATTTAAGACATGTTAAATAGAGCGCTGGGTGGGATGGTTTTAGACGAATTTGTCAGAGAGAGCGCTGTACAGGATATTTAGAAACTTAGATCGAATAGAGTGTATGACAGGAAATTTTAGACACTTATGTCGGACGGATAGCACACTTACAAATATTTGCATCGGATAGCGCACTTGTCATAATATTTGAGATACGTACGTCAAAAAGGGTGCAAAGCAGGTTATTTCAGACACTTGCGTCGGACAGCGCGCTGAAAAGGAAACTTTTGAGACGTGTCAGTAAAAGCGCTTTACCTATCATATTGTCGGATAAAGTCATGGACAAAATTTTTTAGAATCTTAAGACGATGGATAAAGCGCTAGACAGCATATTGTAGACACCTACGTAAAATGGAGCAGCTGGCAGGATATTTTAGACACTGACATAGTATATTGCAGACACTTACATCGGATAGAGCGCTCGATAGTATATTGTAGACTCTTACATCGGATAAAGCGCTCGATAGTATATTGTAGACACTTACATCGGATAGAGCGCTCGATAGTATATTGTAGACACTTACAACGGATAGAGCGCTCGATAGTATATTGTAGACACTTACATCGGATAGAGCGCTCGATAGTATATAGTAGACACTTACATCGGATAGAGCGCTCGATAGTATATTGTAGACACTTACATCGGATAAAGCTCTCAATAGTATATTATAGACACTTACATCGGATAGAGCGCTCGATAGTATATTGTAGACACTTACATCGGATAAAGCGCTCGATAGTATATTGTAGACACTTACATCGGATAGAGCGCTCGATAGTATATTGTAGACGCTTACATCGGATAAAGCGCTCGATAGCATATTATAGACACTTACATCGGATAGAGCGCTCGATAGTATATTGTAGACACTTACATCGGATAGAGCGCTCGATAGTATATTGTAGACGCTTACATCGGATAAAGCGCTCAATAGTATATTATAGACACTTACATCGGATAGAGCGCTCGATAGTATATTGTAGACACTTACATCGGATAAAGCGCTCAATAGTATATTATAGACACTTACATCGGATAGAGCGCTCGATAGTATATTGTAGACACTTACATCGGATAAAGCGCTCAATAGTATATTATAGACACTTACATCGGATAGAGCGCTCGACATGGTATCATAGACAATTCTGATACGACTGTAGGATTTATGATTGGCGAGTTTATCTGGTGCAGTCAAAAACAAGGTTAATAGCTTGTTATATAGCTTAAAGTAAACCCCTGTCCCGTTATATACATACTGGAAAGTCTGCGGGAATCAATACTTATCAATATTTTACAACCGAATCGGGAATTACTGGCCGAGTTGTTCTGATTTACGAGCTAAAAATACAGCATAAATTGTCACATATAAGCAGTGATTGGTGTAAGTTACCGACATTATTACCATGTTATATCCATGTACGTATAAGTCCGTTGCTTCTGTTAAAAAACAACAACAATAGGTTAAGCGTGGCTGCTAAGGTTTTCACGATACAATGTTTGTAAGTTAGACAAATATTTGTAATTGTTGATGCAAGCTGCTCAAACGTATTGATTCTCATAGAAAAGCTATTTAGATGTGCAGGTTAAGCCTGGGTAAACACCTGCTTTATACATGTATATATTTACATTTATACACACATGCGGTCACACCACAAAGTGTACGGTTTTGCGGTTTCGACTAAGCTGGTAGAAATGACTTTTTAACTGGTCCACCTTGTTGATTTACGATAGGGTAAAACCACAAACGAGAAAACAGAATGAGGGTCTGAAGTGTTCGTGGAAAAATCTTTCTGTGTCGTTCAGAATATAGCCGTTAACTCGTAGGTGTTTTAATGATATATGCACAAATTACTGTGAAATTTCTAGGCTGATAGTGATGGCTAAGATACGCGAGCCCAGTCCTCGGGATCACCAAGTGCAGATCGGCTCTGACGCTCGGTGGCCAGCGTAGCAAACAGATTAATGTTGTAAGCGATTTACACAGTTTAAACAGGTAAACAGTTTAGATCTAAATCCACTTTCACAGATTAGGATCAGTTAAGAAATGTTTTTATGTGTTTAGAAAGACTAGGGGTAGGCTACTGCTACGGAGAATCGATGGACAGTTTGCTGGAATACATTAAAAACACGACTACAATACAGTATCGAGTGTTAACAGAGGCGATAATTTTGGACATGGATACTGAAAATGCTCCATTCTTGTATGGATCTACCTTATTTTGTACCTGTTCTACAGGGTCAATAAACTTACTCTCCCAACCAAACCTTTAATAGCAAAGCCATTAGTTTAGAAGTAAGTCATTACGTTCCTTGACCTTTCTATTTTAAGTCGATATTTCCATAAATGTATATATACTTGGATACTGTGTCTTCATATTATACAAAGCATACACCAAACTTAATTCTCACCTGTTGTATCTCGAGCCGCCCAAAGTTGCCCAATATGGTTCTATTGACCTCTGTTTTAGGTGGGTGCAGAATTAGAAATTTAAGTATAGTATTAGTTTTATACACGGAAGGGCGTCAACGAATAAGTGCAATGTTGGTTTATCAGACTAAAAAGTCTCAGCAACATCACCAGTTCATTCAGAAAAGAAACACAATGCAAGCACAGAGCAAAGCGTTTTGTTTGAACACACTAACGATTAAAAAATAGTTTATATGGCCGTATGAAACAAAATATACATTTATTTTAGCGCAGATGCTTACATGGATCAAAATGCCTGAATATGATTTAATTCAAATTTATTTTTCAATTGGAGGTAAAACTTTTAAATATTTCATGTCTTATCAAAATAATCTTATATATGTTTGCCAATTACAAGCTATTTTTGTTAAGCTTGTGAACGGTACCGCAATTGGCACATCCATGAAAAAACAACAGACCACTTTCTAAAAATCAGACGCTAGAATAGAGGAAAATAGATGAAGTTTGAATGACGCATCACCATAAGGAAAGAGGGGGTTAGTTACGGAGTGTGAACAATTTATCGTAGGAAAAGTACGTGTGTAGGAGATTCAATGGCAAAGCTTTAGCATTCCACAGGTCGCTCAGCTAATTGAATTGAAATAGAGACTAGGGTGCTTTAAACATGAAAGACGAAGTTGAGACTAGGAAGTAAGGTAAGGCGCAATGGCTCAGGCTTGAATGTATGTTCCGATCTGATACTGAACAGTAAAACAGTCTAGAAACACAGTTAACAGTTTATTATAGATTCCATATTAATGCATTTTGTTGTATTATTCTAAAACCATACTTCAATGTTATATGTTGCCTTATACCAAAGCAGTAATGTGCGCGTTACATTTTCAAACTTTAAAAAAAATCTATCTTACCAATATAATATCCGGGTTAAATTCATGTATGATGAGAATGTTTTCTTCGACGCCATCAATTACCGAGAATTTGGGGGCAATCCCGTCACTCTTATCAATTTCATATATCTTTTTTATAAAATGGCAAACATTGTTCTAACCGCTCTGATTCAATTAGTTTCAAAATATTGTTATGAAAGTCTGCATTAAAAACCAGTCTTATTTAATCGACACATCCTATTAGAAAACCAATGCTAAAAGCCGCTGTGTTATTGGGTATACTTTCTACGATAAGTCTAAATAGACATTACAATATGTAACATAATTCTCATCAAAGTAAATTGAAACATTTCATCGTATATTCATGCAAGCAGTAGATTTCGAAATCCGATGAGCTGTTCACTCAGTTGATACGAGTGTAGATATACCCGAATCGTGGGCTTTTCGTGTAGCGACGTAGACAGGGACACCGGTGATTCGCGGGCTGTGTTTACGGTACAATTGTACCAGTGTGACCTTATTTAAAGCGAATCCACAGGGCAGTGAGCAGAAGGCAGCTAGCGCCTGACTCGTTCTGACGTCGCGTTTTCTACCACTGCTATAGTATACAGGGAGATTTAATATTTATATATACACACACTTACTCAACTATGCAATGACATCGGAGTTGAGTGGTATAAAGGGGGACTATGTCTATTAGTAAGCGACATACGGCCACGCGTTCTAAGCAGTGTTTCTTTCTGATTACAGTGATATGAAGAGAAGAGGATATGTGCTAGTCATATCAAAATAAACTTGAAGAGTTTGGAGCAATACCTCATTGGATGTAATAAAAATTATTTTAATTTAATTTATTAAAATTCACGAACTATGGCAGAATCTGCAATACGGCAAGTGGCTAAAGGTGTTGGACGGACAGTGACCAAGTCAAGTGTCCGGAGGGGTTTAGTGAGCACTACTGACAGTCGAACCGAAGATGCGGTCAAAACGGTCAAGACTGGAGTATCGGACAATCATCGCCATCATCTTAAACGGCAGTCGCCAATTGTTGGCAGTTATCGCCACCAAACAACACTGGCTGCTACAACGACAGAGTTCCTTGATGCCGAAAGTGATGTGAAAACCATGCAGGATTTACCTGGCCCGAAGGGGCTGCCAGTGCTGGGCACGGCGTACGAATACTTTAGGACGGGCAACCGAGGGCAGATGCACAAGGTTCAGGTAAGTGAAAAGCTAGGTTTATTTATATCAGACCTATGTTTTATTGGCATTGTATAACCGTTAGATCTTTAGTTGAATCCATTAACCTAAAAATGTTATAAGCTTAAGGTCCAACTAGCGAATAATCTTTTTTCATGATTATTATATAAAACTACCAGAAGTGAAAGGATATAATAGTTTGTAATCAAAAGACAAAGAAATGACACACATTCCTAGTGCATTGAAATGAGATATCGCTATCCCATACCAGGAAGGGTCTTTTCCTTCCGTATGATGTAGAACCTATTACTATTTCGGTGTAAACGCCAGTAGGTAAGTGATGCCAGTGGCTTTCCTACTTTATGAACTACAGCATACTTTATACTTGGTAAGTAAAAGGAATGCTAGAAAGGAATGCATGGTTTTGTTTATGAGCACACCACCTGTTTGCCCTATCATTCCCGCTACTCTACACACCCCGTGTGCCAAATTTATTGTCTGCCTAACAATTGATTGAATCCTTCACCCCGGCGAGGCAGATATCTTGTTTAGTTATTAGCATCAAGGAGCCTACTATTTTGTTTGTAAAATATGGCTGTTGGTACCACAATATGTCCACGTTCATTCAAAACGTATACCATATGCAAACAAACGATAAAAACAGCGACAGAAGCTTTTCAATACTAGGTTTTGCACACAGTAAACTGAAGGCAAATAACAAGCATAAGACGTAACAGACAAAAGAATTATTGATGCGGCTGTAAAACGAAAGTTGCAACAGATATATGCAAGTCATTGTTACGCCACACCGCGGGGCACTGTACTAAGATACTTTATGAAGTCTAAAATAACATTTGTAGTGGTATCTGATGGTACTGTCTACAACAATCTGAGGTGTGTGCGGTACGTTGTTTTTAGTGACCAGGTGTAAGGAAAGATTATCTGAGTTTACGTCAAGGTGTATGGGGAGGTTCGTACAATTGTACCGAACGTGTTCGTTTATCCCTATCTATTTATCTGTACACGTGGGAGGGTTTTCTCTTTACATACGCACGATTTTCCTTGTGGGGGTTGAAAGAATTTCGCTTGATGATCATGGAATGCTGCTCCAGTGAGGTGAAGCTCGTACGCTTTTACAGGTAGCAACATTTTCACGTTAAAACACCCGCGTGTTATAAGGCCCATTACCTGTACAGTAGATATAAAAGAGGAATTGAAGCTTTAGGCCCAGCTGGCCATATTGTGTAATGGTTACGAAACTGGTAATCATAAAGACATTTTTCTCGTTCGTCAGGGATTACAAAATATAAATAATGTTATATAGAAATGGAACATGTCTGTTTACCAATGTTGAATTAATGTATACCGGCAGGTATAGACTGTCGCTTCTTTTGACAAAAACGACAAATACCTGTCCGAGTCCATGTATCTCTAAAACGCGCTAATGGAAAGATGAGAAGCTATAATTTTTGAAAAGGTGTCAAGGCTGCAAAGGAAGGGTGTCAAACACGCACTTTGACATTCCGTTCATTCTTTGTATAAACTAGTCACGATGTGGTCAGCGTGGTTGTAGGATCTGTCAGCAGAGAGCTTAAAACATCTTTTCTGTGGATATGATTAGGCGAGCTACTTGATGGTACTGTTGTGTATTCTACCTCTATATGTACATGCTAGGTATCCAGCTGTACCTGGTAATGGACTAACGACTACGAGGTAATGGATAGGAACACCAAGTGATGCTGTGACAGGAATCAATAACATTAACATATCGGCAGGGTGTATGCATTAGGTCAACTGTCATCTGAACAGACACGCCGTCCAGGTGTCACTAAGGCAATGAAAAAACAGCTGATGAGTTTTATCCGCAGCGCTACATTTCCTTCGTGCGATGTATCGGGTTTCAAGCAACACAACGTGTTTCACGAGCCTGTGATTTTCGAAGTTATTATGTGTTATGCAGTAGTACGTTAAAAAGTATTTTCAATGTTGTGTATAACAGAAATCATATATTTATTCAAGATAAATATTTTCATACACTCCAGCCACTGACCTTCTCTGATCCCTTCAGTACGGCCCAATACAACATCGTCAGTGTAAAGACGCATAGCATTAGGTATGACAACTAATAACCCATTTTATCGTTAACTTAATTCATATGTTGAAAATTATACAGGACATCATGCCAAATAATACACTGAAAGAGGCTTTTGATATCTTACTACTTAAACTTTGTTGAAATGTTGTTCATCCCAGCGTTCTGTATTCAGGGTGTCTACGAAAGCATGACGTAAGCTTAAGTTGGTATGAACAGCTTGATAATAGGAGATTCTCAGGATAGTTCATAATGTACAATCAGGTCGCTTACGCTTGTATCGGAGTACAACTGCGATTATGATCAGAAATAGCATTAAGAGGAAGGGTAGAATATGTATGAAGTGCCGATATGTTCATGTAATTCTAATTGTCGTTACGGTTTTTATTTGGTGGTTTAAAGCTAAGTTTGATATGAAAAAGGATTTTATCAAATAGAAAAGGTAGCTGTTTGGTCGAGTATAATACCAGTGAGATTTGTTACCTGGCTTGTGTAATGCAGTCTGTACAAAGAGGTAGTTTTCAACACAGATGTTTTGTAAAAATTTCCCTGTTCATCCAGAAAGGCTGGACAATCCCCGCGATCTTTAATTTGCTTTATCACTGGGTAAACGACCGGGATTCATGTTAACCTATAGAGAAAAATCGTCTGAATGAAAACAGTTTTTACTACGAGAATGACAAGTATTTGATGTGTCTGTTAAATAGATGTTCACTAGTTATAGAACACGTTAGCCTGGAGGTAGGTTATATTGTACACAAGTGGCATGGCGGATTTATAATGACGCTGCTTTACACATGAGTAAATAAGAGTGTCGCCCGAGCCGTGAATGGATGGCAGTGGTCTTTGTAAGGGATAATGAGTTGTCCCTCCAGCGCTTGTCCTCCACTGTGAGGTAATTAGGTCCCCGATGTGACCTGTGCGTCATTGTCAGTGCAATTCACGGGTAACAATACAATAAATAGACACTTCTAGTCAGTCGCTTCCCAGGAAACCAATCCCTACAAAAAACAAACTAACCAGCATCTCTTCTAGAGGGTAGTGACCAGTCTAGTACTTCATCTGGCGAGTTTCAGTAATATTGCCACGTGAAACATTTATGTCTTCTTGTCAATTTCAACTAAAGCAATACTTTCAGCCTTGTTGACTGCTATCTATGTAGTTACAAGATGTTTATGAATCAAGAACAACAAGAAAAAACAACGATTATCAATGACATAATGATAATCTTAACTCAAATTCAATAAGATTAAGGGGAAAATATGAACAAAAGAAAATTTTACATGAAAGCCCCCTGAACATGTACAAGGAAAAAGATACCATGATTTCTGGAAGATTAAGCGTCTTCTGCTTGATAGTCAACACCCGCCACGTAAATCTTTGACATTTCAAAAAAGTATTGTCACGTTTTCAAATGAGAACAAGGTAAACAACGGAACCAACTGGCAAACTAACGAGCATAAAACACATGCATGTGTTACAGCTGTGGTGGCATATTGCTCGTCTTTGTCGCCCCTATTCTGTTTAGCGCGCTTGTAATCGTATCAATAGCTAATTCTACATCTAACTTTATTTTTAAAATTTAAATATTTAAGTTATCTTTTATTACTTTCAGACAAATTTTCACAAAAAGTACGGAAAGTATTTCAAAGAAAAATTGGGACCAGTGTGGAACGTTTCGATCGCAGATCCGCGCCTTGTAGAGGAGATCAGTAGAAAGGAGACAAAGTTACCCCTCCGCCCGCCGTACGAGTCATGGGTCCTCTACAAGAAAATGCGTGGCCAGAAAGCCGGGATTTTGTCCGGGTAAGTTTCCTTGGTTCAGGATTAAATCTTTTGTCCTAAGGTAAAGCTTGTTGAATGACCAATAGACACTAAATATTTCGTACATTCGCCTTTGGGCTCTGTCCCTTAGACGAAACGCATCATTTCTTGCTAAAAAATAATAACTCGTTGGGACTATTTTTCTTTAATGTGGTATTACTATATATTCGGCATTAGTTCCACATTCTCACCAGGACGCTTACATGAATCTATCGCAGCCTCCCACAAATACTCGTACTCATTACCTGCACGTACCCGTATACAGAAGGAGGCCGTCTTTAAATGACCATGACTGTTGAAAGGACGTTAAAAACCAAAGCAAATTATTTCCATTACCATCCGAAAAAAAATCATCATCTACCATAAGTATATCATGTCAAACTGTCGTTCACTTAGCTCGTTCTTTTTAAATCAGTTCTTGTTGCGTCCTTAAATATAATACGAATACTTTAGAGATGTGTTAATGTAATTCCTGTTAAGAAAAAAGATATGTAAATGTCAGACGATATTACGTTTACCTTACTGATGTCAAGTATTATATTGATTTTGATATGCAAAGTATGCTTTCCTGCTACCAACAGATGACGCATTTCACCCTGAAAAACCAGGGGTTTCTAGTATAGAACGTGCAAGCATTGTAGGAGCGTAATATTTCAATGAATGATTACCGAATGATGTTTACAAACCTTACACAATGACATTGTCGGATAAGTGATAAGTTGTACAAAGACAAAATCATATCAGATTAACTCAGTACGAAGGCCATGATATATACTTAGCTTTGATTTCTATTTCCATGTGTATTTATAGTAACGATATTCTTCTTAACGTGCATGTAATAAAATGTGATTGACACTGCTGAGAGCCGAGTAAATAATTTTGGAGTTGTTTCTGTGACACAGCTGTCTGCTTTATTTGAGGTGTATATGTTCAGCACTTACCTTGTAGGCCAGGGGATCTGGCAGGTGAACGGGTACGCAGTCATCAAGTGCACGTCATCACCCACACCGCCAACTACTTCACGTTCTCAGAACAGAAGAATGACTATTAATTACAGAAGGGAATCTAGACTATCTTGTTCTAATTAATAGAATACCACCTTGCCACAAAGACATTTTAACACTTACAGAATTTTGAAGAACGGTGCCAACGTGGTTAACAGGACATAATATTCCTTGTAGCTTTTAAGTATGTATACCGTGAAGATTTGTAATGAGTATAGTAGGTTGTACTGTAAGAATGTGGAACAAAGCTATCTAGAAAATCCACAATTTGCTGTAACTGGTTTGAGAAAATGTTGATCATGTTTATTATTTGTTGTCTAGGATCGGAGAAGAATGGAAAACTGCAAGAAGCGTATTGTCACAGCGGATGTTGAAACCAAAAGTTGTATCTGAATACACTGGAGTGATGAACGAGGTCTCAGATTCGTTCATGGACAGGTTACGTCTACTTCGAGACACTGGTGACCAGCAAGGTGTTGTCCCAGACCTAGTGAATGAGCTCAACAAATGGTCAACTGAAAGTATGTTGATATTTAAACATAATGTCAGCAAAACCAAAACTCTGTGTAAAAACCACACAATTTTCTGACTATAGTGTACAATGTAAATAAGATTATAGTACAAACCGAAAAATTGGTTGATTCCGTTCAATGTCATATACTACGTATGTCAGTGCTAGTGTGCCCATACTGGTCTTGGTCTGACGAAAGTGACCGTATAGTCATCGAAACGTCACACTCTTATTTTCTCCTGGTTGTGATAGAAGGAGTTCTAATCTATTTTAGATAAACCATGGATTACAAAATACAAGATGCTTATTTACATCATAAATCACTTCACTGTAATCAAACATTTTACAAAAAACACGATCGAATTCCACCTTTTGATACAAATGTAGAATTAGGAAGTTAGAAAAGAAGAGACTGATAATGAAACAAATACATTTGATATCATCTGATTAATTAAAAGATTATTTTGAAAGTGTATGAAATATTTCATGACGCACATTATTGCGTATAAATCTTGTAATCTGATATATTTATCAATCAATCGACGAAAAGTGAATTGATTAAGAAAAAAACGACCATCTAATTATACTTGTTTTATTTTGCAGCCATCGCAGCAGTACTTCTAGAAAAGAGACTGGGTTTTTACGACAAAAATGTGCCTGCGGATGCGCAGGAATTTATCGACTCTGTGAAAAGTATGTTTTTAACTGGTCATCAGCTGATGGTGTTTGCCAATGTGCACAAGGCGCTTGGGACAAAAGTGTGGCGGGAGCACGTGAGATCAATGGACTCCATATACAGGATAGGTGAGCATCTCAATGTTCTTTTATTTGAATGTTCAACTAAGTTTTCCTTCGTGTAGAGACATGATAAACATCTTTAATCTTATGTCTAGATTGTATTATTTATTGGAATCGTTCTCTGAGATAGGGACGGTCTGTTTCCAATAAAGCATTTTTAATTGATGAAATCCTAATTAATACAACTATTTTATCCAATCATTGTCGATAATTATAATGTTTTATTATTATTTTTAGCTGAGAATCTTATTGATGAGAAATTGAATGAGACCAAACGACTAGCTGATTTAAGTGCTGAAGAGTTTGAATCGGCTACTTCAAAAGGATCGGCATTTTTAGACTACCTCTTTGCAAGTAAAAGGTTCTCCCTACAAGACATTAAAGTAAACACAACGGAGCTCCTCCTTGGTGCTGTCGATACGGTACATATCAAATTGTATTACTTGGTAGCTTTAATTTATTTGTATATTTTTATAGCTTGATTATAAAATCATTGTACTACGTCAGGAGAACTGATGACGTTGTAAGAAAAAGAAACAGCGTTTTCTTGAAAGCTCTGAAAATCACACACATATCTAAATGTAACGTTAACAATGTCATTTCATTTTACTTGTCAGTCTTGCTACTTGGCATACCCACTCAATTGTTTTACATCTAGAGAAGGCATCACCAATTTTTGAAATTATAATGATGCTAATTTTTTTATGAATATACTTTAATCACTTTCATATCACTGTTTAGACATAGGACTTGTAAAGAGAGAATAGTTATGTAGTCGGACAGATCAAAACAACACGATATCGTATTAATCACGCCCCTGAGCACAAAAAACACATGTACATCTATTAAGGATCACTTCAACGGGGCTCCACTACACGAGATAAGGTTTGCAAATAACGCAGCCTTTCTGCTAGTCTTTCATTGTATCTGATAAAGCCATTCGATGAAATTAATCGTTCTGCTCAGAACCAATAACATCTTTATGACCAGAGGTAAATTCATCTTCCTTCACACCTATCTATACAAGGCTCACCTTAATTTGCATCAAATGAAACAACAGCATTTGGTTTGGGGCCCGTGTAGAATTGGCGGGCGGGTATCGACTTACCGATAGGATCTTGATAGGAGTTGAGCGTCCTACAGGCATGCCTATCCAAATGTTACCCTCATCACGATCTTTAGAACAACATAGAAATACATCTCATGAGGTAGTTTCCTTGGGTGGTCGAATGGAAATCAAGAATGACGATTGTTTAAAGCTGATTAATATAAAGTTTAGAAATGTATGTTGCAGAAGAGGTATTCCCAGCTGGGATTGCGTGTACTGCCAACGCTTTCCATTCCAAATATCTGTTTCACAATCAGAGTATTTTTTATATATATAAATAAGAAAAACCACACCAAGAACTAATTTGGCTGAATGGATATGCGCACTATGATAGGATACATTAAATTCGCACGAGCTATCTCCTCTTCGCTCTATCGCTAGCCCGATCGTCATGCCGTTGGATGTAGTGAAACATGAGCTACTGCGGCTTTTAATCGCCATTTACCACATAATTAAGATAGCTTATACGTTGTTGAAACTAAATTGACCGGAAGAGGTATTGTAAATATAAGCAACCGAGTGTATATTGTGAATGAAATGAAGTATTTAAGAAATGTAGTAAATTAAATGTCGTTACTCTTTTTTGGTTGTAGGCAGCCAACGCACTGGGTTTTGCAATGTGCCTTCTTGCTCAGAATCCACGCGTGCAAGAAAAATTTTACCAAGAGGTGCAAGAGCAATATGGAAAAGGAAAACATGTACATTATCACGATTTGCAGGAAGCCAGTTACGTCAAAGCTATCGTGAAAGAAACTTTAAGGTTTGTGTATACTAAATAAATAGTTTCTTGAAATAAATTTATTCCTCTTCAACAATAGTTTCCTTAAAACGGTTCTCAAATCTACATAAATATATATTTATCAAATACACATTGATATGTTGCAGAATCTACCCTGTCCTTCCGATAAACGCCCGGGTATTGACGGAAGACACCGTCATTGGTAACCATATGATTCCGAAAGGGGTAAGTAATACTGAGAATATCTGTTATAATCGCTGACACATTCCTTTTGTACTGGCGTTTTACAGTGAATTGTTCGGTAACCGAAGTTTAAATCACGTGTCCTATAGAATGATGAAGACTATGAGGAAATGTTTTACTTTATTCCATATGATATCGTTGTGTTATTTTCATTGTACGGTATGACAGTTGGTGCTCTTTAGTAAAGTAGATTTTATCTCAGTTTCTTATTGTTTGTTATTTTCGTTTATAAAGCAGAGTTAACTTATCGCTGCCACTCACGGAAAATCTAGATTTATTAACTTTATTATTCCATCAACTGATCCTGTCTGAATGTTTCCTTCATGCAAATAGCGTACACATTACCGGTGATGTGAGTTTGAATCATGATTTGATTAACAAAAACAGTTGACAGAAATTAAGTCTGATTTTGATGTTAACCTTTTTGTAGACTTGTATACTCTTCAACAACTATACCATGTACCATGACGAGTCTTACTTCCCGGACCATGATGAGTTCCGGCCAGAGAGATGGATCCGCAAGGGCCATCATAAGGAATGGGACCCATTTACTACCGTTGTCTTTGGTTTTGGAGCACGAAGTTGTCTTGGTAGGTTATTTAATGGTGCAGTATTCATTACTTGTACATGGGTGTCCTTGAGTTACTGTAAACATTTTTATTTATTCTTCAGTTTTCATTACATTGTTATACACTTGTCATCGCGAAAAGTTATTCGAGAAAATTAATACGACTTTCTCTTGGTATTTGTAATCTATGATTAGACCTCTGCTAGAAATGGTAGACTAAAACAATAATTTATATAAGACTATATTAGAGCTATATTCATAAAATGTTTTGGGCTTTTTCAGGCAGGCGTGTAGCAGAACAGGAATTATACATAGGGCTTATGAAAGTAAGTATGCAAGTGATGCCTTTGTGTTATCACAAATATTTTATATCAATTAGTAATGAAATACTCGGATCAGAGATAAAGCTAATGTGCGCGTAGTTTCTGCTATCATATGGTATGTATTGAAATGTATTTTAGATATCTTGATGTCTTGGTAACGCATCAACTTCTTGCTGTTTCAGCTCACACAGAATTTCTGGCTTGAGCCAACAGGGAGTCCATTGGAACCAACCCTACGGACGGTATTGACACAAAAGGAGATCCCAGTCAGTTTCATCGACCGATAGAAAGGTGATTAGAGACACTGATTGCCACAGAGGTGTGCGTCTGCTGCCTGAAGGGAAAAACACCTGCAAAAGACGGGTGGACTCGACTGTGCTCGCCATTCGTGCTGTTAACATATTGTGAATGATTATAAACTAAATGAATTGTCAAGACATTACGGATGCTATATATTACCAGAGAATATCAATGTTCAATGACAATTTAATGGACAGTTACAGACACCTACTGTAACAAATGGGAACTCCATATGCCTAAAAGCATTACTCTACTTTACATTCGTTGATAAGGTTTGGCAGCCAGTTTTCGGTTTTGTCCTTCTGCAGGAACAATCATCTGATGTCCAGAATGGTGCGAAGGTATTCAAGGCCGCTCTACACGATTCTTTGACGCTGATAACGTTATTATACTTGCGTCTTGATGGATATTTAAATGGATTCTGTCATTCCCATCTTCCGTGCCGTTCTCTTTTCGCCCCTTCCACAAAAGAGAATTTGGTGATGGAAGGGCACATGGTACCTCATCAGCAAGTGTACCGACCAAGACATTTGCGAGTTTCACACTTAGCTTCTTGCTGGTGGCAGCCAGTCGGTGAAGAGTTTCAACAACGGTGATACTGAAAGTGTCCTGTTATAAAGAGCCGTTTGTAATGGCCAAGAATGTGTTATTTTCGTAAGGAGAGACATATGCTTGAACATTTCGGGTTTGACGGGTGAAATAGTTCTAGATGGACTAGAACTAATCTCTATATATGTATTTCATTACAATGTAACGTCATTGCTTTATCGTGTTTTTTGATTATGTTCACCTATTCTTGACACATCAGGAAATTTCGAGAAAAGTTCAGATCAAGTATGATACGACGTTGTCTGATTAAGTTACCGGTTACTGCTTAATAATAAGTCCCATTTATATGAACGCAGGGTAGTATCATTGAAATGTTTGTGTTCGGAAAGCCTCCAGGCATATCACGACTGTCCTAATGCCGCCATGTTGTGCCTCTACTGCGGACTGAACACGGGTATCATGGAAACAAATCATCAAACATATCTGTCTGATCATGTAGCATGCATATTTGTGTTTGTCTAGGCACGTTGTGATTAAATCAGCAATGCAAATGTAGTTGAGTGTGATTCCATTGCCTCTAAATAGGTGCCAGGGTATGTGTTGAGTTGTGGATGGAACTAGATAAGAGAGCATCATGTGGTGTGTTTAATGGTATGTAAATTTGTCTTCGAAAATGTTCGTGACGTGATGTTATATGTAAATAGGTGTGAGAGTTTGTTACATTATGTTTTGCTATGTAACTGAGGATGGTATGCTTTAAAACAGGTATGAAATTTTTTTTCTGTGGTGATATATATAAATGTTGGAAAATGTTGATGGTGTGATCATATATAGAAAGGAGTGAGCCTTTGTCCATGGTGTTATGACATAAATACATGTGCACGTATGTCCGTGTTATTATGACGTAAATACATGTGCGCGTATGTTCGTTGTGTTATTCCGTAAATACATGTGAGCGCATGTTCGTGTTGTTATGAAATAACTATATGTGCGCGTATGTTCATGGTGTTATTATGTATAATACAAGTGGGCGTTTGTTCGTGGTTTTATGACAAATATATGTGAGCGTATGTTCACGGTGTTATGACATAAACGCACGTGAACGTATGTTCACGGTGTTATGACATAAACGCACGTGAGCGTATGATCACGGTGTTATGACATAAAATATGTGAGCGTATGTTCACGGTGTTATGACATAAACGCACGTGAGCGTATGTTCACGGTGTTATGACATAAACGCACGTGAGCGTATGTTCACGGTATTATGATATGTTTAAAGGTGTGTCTATAGTGTTGCGTGGCGTTAGGATAATTATGTACATAGACTGAGAGAACATAGACTATTCAGTATTGTGTTGTGATGTGTAAATACCTGTCCTATATTTATTGACATGATATTCATCTCATTCAAGTAGTTGTTGAGGTATTTCGAATTATTTATTTTGCAGCAAATCATAACGATAAACATCTTGAGACGTCGACGCATCCGTCAATAACAGTGGTCTATGTTTTTGAAACGATGTTTTCACATTCGGAAACTATATTATATATGAAAAGAAATTTAATCGCCATTAATTTAATACATATAAACATGGTCATGTAACTTAACTATAAGGAATGGTATCTTTTAAAAAGGTGTAAATATGTCTTTAAGCTTCTCCTATAAATTTCATGCAATAAAAATTAAATAATGCCTTTATTCAGCTGTTACTGGGATATAACCCGAAACTTAGGAATGTGTAGCGTCTACAAGTGAAATGTGATGCCTTCTTTTTGACGGTTTGTATTTTATACATTTTCAATGAGTTGGAATGATATATAAACCCATTCAAATGCACATTTCAGCTGGAAGTAGGCCGTGATATTTGCTGGTGGTATTTTACCTGACGGCCTAGTTATTACTCTGAAACTAGAAACCTCGTTTAATTTACGTTCGGTACAGTTTTTTTCTAATAATTTCATATCTTAGCCATTTTTCGAAATCCAGAACATTTTTGCGACTCATTATCAATACGAAATTATCTATAGGGAATATGGCCTGTAAGTTGTAGTACTAATTATTATAACGTGGGCTATTATTGTTACTCAGAGGAAGCATCACAAGAACACTTGAAATCGTTATCATTTGAATCCTGGTTTAAACAAATTTGTTATTCCTTGCTCATGCCGAGAGGTTATTTGTTGTATCTGATTGTTGGCATAAAAATAATATGGAAAGATGTCACTCATGTAAAAGAGAGGAGGTTGCTGAGGACACATCAGTGACTCGCGTAATTGTTGAATAAAATAAATGAAAGTTTATATTGATCGTTTGTGTGATACTTTTTGCATACAAATGGGCTGATCGTTCAGCCACGTCTTAGTTGTTTGTCGGGCAATATTTTTTCCTCTCGCTGACACACGATCGCGAGACAGCCAGCACATGCACAACCCTCACCACCTGAGTTTTTACTGATCTCAGCGTATAGGTTTAACTGCGTTATAGGTAGTATGCGTGAAATACGGTTGATAATGCTTACCATTTATTGTCACTTTCCGGAAAGAAAATACCATTATGTCATCATAATAATAATCCAAAGTCAAATTCAATAACATTAGAGGAAAATATGAAGAAAAGAAAAACTTACACGGAGACTCCTGAAAAAGTACAAGAAGAATAAGACCAGGTGTTCCGGAAGAGTAAGCAACTTCTCCTTCATCGACGTCAAACGCCATGTTAATTTTGCTCAATCCTAGTTAGCAATGGCACGTTCTCAAACGAAAACAAGGTATACAGCAACGTAACCAACAGGCAAACTAACGAGCAGCAAACCTGTCCAGTTTCATATCAAAGAAAGGAAGAAGGCTAACTAAAGACTAGAAATGATGCGCTATCAAGGAAAGATCGAATTATATCTTTCGTCGCCTCTTACGATCATGCAACGTGAATATCAGATAAAATTGTTACCTACAGGGCAGCAGTACTTGCTTTTTTATATGTTTGATTGTTTAGTGTGCCTGGTCGTTTTACGCTTTTGATGCTGCTTGATTCATGGTCGGTTAATGCTGTTAGCAGCTCTGGTCGTTTAATGATGTTAGCAGGTCTGGTCGTTTAATGCTGTTAGCAGGTCTGGTCGTTTAATGCTGTTAGCAGGTCTAGACGTTTAATGCTTTTAGCAGGTATGGTCGTTTAATGTTGTTAGTGTGTCTCGTCGTTTAATGCTGTTACGAGGTCTGGTCATGTAATGCTGCTAGTAAGTCTGGTCGTTTAATGCTGTTAGCAGCTCTGGTCGTTTAATGATGTTAGCAGGTCTGGTCGTTTAATGCTGTTAGCAGGTCTGGTCGTTTAATGCTGTTAGCAGGTCTAGACGTTTAATGCTTTTAGCAGGTATGGTCGTTTAATGTTGTTAGTGTGTCTCGTCGTTTAATGCTGTTACGAGGTCTGGTCATGTAATGCTGCTAGTAAGTCTGGTCGTTTAATGTTGTTAGCAGGTCTGGTCGTTTAATGCTGTTAGCAGATCTGGTCATGTAATGCTGTTAGCAGTTCTGGTCGTTTAATGCTGTTAGCAGGTCTGGTCGTTTAATGCTGTTAGCAGGTCTAGACGTTTAATGCTTTTAGCAGGTATGGTCGTTTAATGTTGTTAGTGTGTCTCGTCGTTTAATGCTGTTACGAGGTCTGGTCATGTAATGCTGCTAGTAAGTCTGGTCGTTTAATGTTGTTAGCAGGTCTGGTCGTTTAATGTTGTTAGCAGATCTGGTCATGTAATGCTGTTAGCAGGTCTGGTCATGTAATGCTGTTAGCAGTTCTGGTCGTTTAATGTTGTTAGCAGGTCTGGTCGTTTAATGCTGTTAGCAGGTCTGGTCGTTTAATGCTGTTAGCAGGTCTAGACGTTTAATGTTTTTAGCAGGTATGGTCGTTTAATGTTGTTAGTGTGTCTCGTCGTTTAATGCTGTTACGAGGTCTGGTCATGTAATGCTGCTAGTAAGTCTGGTCGTTTAATGTTGTTAGCAGGTCTGGTCGTTTAATGCTGTTAGCAGTTCTGGTCGTTTAATGCTGTTAGCAGGTCTAGACGTTTAATGCTTTTAGCAGGTATGGTCGTTTAATGTTGTTAGTGTGTCTCGTCGTTTAATGCTGTTACGAGGTCTGGTCATGTAATGCTGCTAGTAAGTCTGGTCGTTTAATGTTGTTAGCAGGTCTGGTCGTTTAATGTTGTTAGCAGATCTGGTCATGTAATGCTGTTAGCAGGTCTGGTCATGTAATGCTGTTAGCAGTTCTGGTCGTTTAATGTTGTTAGCAGGTCTGGTCGTTTAATGCTGTTAGCAGGTCTGGTCGTTTAATGCTGTTAGCAGGTCTAGACGTTTAATGTTTTTAGCAGGTATGGTCGTTTAATGTTGTTAGTGTGTCTCGTCGTTTAATGCTGTTACGAGGTCTGGTCATGTAATGCTGCTAGTAAGTCTGGTCGTTTAATGTTGTTAGCAGGTCTGGTCGTTTAATGCTGTTAGCAGATCTGGTCATGTAATGCTGTGAGCAGGTCTGGTCATGTAATGCTGTTAGCAGTTCTGGTCGTTTAATGTTGTTAGCAGGTCTGGTCTTTTCGTTGTTACTAGTTAAAATCTCAGTTTTGAAGGTGTCGTCCTGGATCTTATACTCTTATACGTATATTAGTTTTGTCTGACAGAATCCGACGAATATTTGACAGAATTTTTCATTAAATGTAGGCTTAAGATTACAATATGTTCCATATTTTTATATTATTGTATACAAAAGTCTTGATCTTTCCACGCAGATTAGAAGACAAAAGGAAACGAAAATAAAAAAGACAAAATATTAATTACAGTTACTGCTGTAACATATGAAAGCATACGCGGGCACATAATTTAAGTACGTTCGACATCGCATGCCATAGACGAACCAGAAGACGCTTACTTCTCCGACACACTCTGTCCTATTGTCCTTGTACTTTTATACGAGTCTCCGCGTGACTCTTCTTTTGTTTATGTTTTCCCTTGTTTTTATTGAATTTGTCTTTGGATTAGGATTATTAAATATGGATGGTTTTCATAGCTTCATGAAATAAAAGGAAATATCTTGTTAATTTTTTTGGAGCGAATTAGGGTTGTTGAACAAACAGGAGCATTTATGTTAAGAAAATGTTTGAGCAAGTTGTGAATATTCAGAATCGAACACTCAGGAAAAGAGGAAAGAGTAATGCAATAAGAATTATTTTGCACGTGAAAAGATAGAACACACTTGTAACAATCAACATTTACATGTTCACATAGTCTCTAGATGAAGGTTACTTTACCTCGTGTTTGTATTCACCGATACTGATGCATTACGGTAAGGCTCGCGAAGTGTGTACGATCTTGTCACAACTTATGAGGGCAGTAAAAGCACGATCGTACATAAGCGTAATTCAAATGTCTTTAAAAAGACCATGTAATACATCTGTCTGTAATGTAACACGGCATAAATGAAAAATTATAAATTTGTTAACTTGAAATGAGACTATTTTTGTAATTGTTAAAGTTGTCAGTGACGTCCACGTGATGACGATAGTTCCGCTATATTATGGCGGTTCAATTAAACCTGTTGCTGTTCTAACGATATATACAAGGTAATTTGGTTTTGTTTTGTTTTGTTTTTTTTTTTTATTTATCATTAAGGAAAAATTGTCCCAGAACTATCTTACTTAATATTACCATATATGGGGTCAAACTCCTTACATTCAGTTTTAAATGTTTAATGAAGACATGGGGTTATCAAATATAGATATAAATATGTAAGAGTTGTTATTTCTGTATGTTCATCGTGGTGTATTAACATTATGACGACATATTTTACTCACGCACATCAAGCACTATATTGTAACCTCGATGTAAAAACCCTGATGCAGATACAGAACAAAATCCTGAAATGACGTCACGGAACATCAGAAAACATGGATATATCGTGTCTGGACGGAAAGAAAAGACATACAAATTATCGATGACACGGAGAGACAGCAACGAAAAGACAACACAGAAAGATAAGATACACAGATAAAAGTTATTGTTTACACCGAAAGACAGAAGCAGAGAGACAACACAAAAGGATATATGTTATTTTCTACACGGATAAAATACACAAATACAAGCTATTGTTGACATGGAGAGACAACACACAAGGATAAACATTGTTGTCTACACGGAAAGATGAAATGCACAAATACAACTTATTGTTGACTCGGAAAGATTGCAAAATGCATCACACAAGGATATGATTCTTTATAATTATAATTTATAATAAAATATTTTACTTACTGTTGACAAGGAAATGCATCACACAAGAAATATGATTCTTTATACTTATTATTCATAATAAAAGATGTTACTCATTGTTGACAAGGAAAGACATCACACAAGGATATAAAATATTATCAACACAAGAACATTAAATACAAAGAATTACTTACTGTTGACTTGGGATGACATCAACGAAGAGACCGCATACAAGAGAACATACACAGATATAAGTTATTGTTAAAAGGCACCACATATTTACTGTAAACAGGACAAGTCATGATAGAAGCCAATTCGGAAACGAAGAGATGAATATATCATTGACATTGTAATATGGCCACGGTACACCAAAACACTTACGTCAGATTTTTTTTTTTTTTTTTTTAATAATTTTGACCCGAAAACAACGGGCGAATTGCTCTTCTATTTATCGCTGGTAGCTTCTAGTTCTTAGACCGATTAAACGCTCGTGCGTTAACATTAAAAGTTAACTACTACATGTATCAATAAAAATTGATGAGGCTTTTTTATCAATTGGTAGGGCGCTCGCGTTAGGTTACCCAATGAAACATACATATAAATGACCTTGTTGAACTTACGATACACTGCAGGAAATGATTTCCTACCCAATTGAAATCTGCACTAAATGTGTGTGTTTAACTGCATTCATCTCTGTATGTTGACACCATGGATATGGGCGGGATTTTGAATGATCACTGGCGATATTTAGCCTACTTAAATAAATTTATATAATGACGTTGGCAATTTAATGCGTGTCTACTTGTTTACCTAAGGTAACTTGTTTACAATCTAGTTTCATAGACATTTAGTACACATCTTCTAACCTAGTTTCATAGACATTCAGTACACATCTACTAACCTAGTTTCATAGACATTTAGTACACATCTTCTAACCTAGTTTCATAGACATTTAGTACATACCTTCTAACCTAGTTTCATAGACATTTAGTACATACCTTCTAACCTAGTTTCATAGACATTCAGTACACATCTACTAACCTAGTTTCATAGACATTCAG